GAGGGAAATATAGAGGTATTTTTGGCAGTTTCCATATTAGTTATCCTGCCTAGCTTTCCTTTTAGACAGGACGACAGGTGCACCTAGGTTGGTCTACAAATGGAACCCAGGCATCCCAGGCAGTCTCAGCCACCTCAACAGTGCCCTCTTGGGCCACTGCAGCTGGGCATTCTCTAACAACTTATTTTTTCTTGATTACCAAAGGGTGCCTTGCACTGTCCAGAGAGAAAGCACCTGCAATGGGGCACACTCACACCACAATCCTTTCCTAGGCATACTCATGCACATATGTGTGTGTGCGAGCACACACATACATACACACACACACACACACACACACACACAGAGCACGTTTTCCAAGCCTCCTAGGGTAGCGATTCAAACCACAGTTGGCCATGTGCGATCTGGGCTCCTTATACATGGCACTCAACCACTGCTGACTCCCTCTTAAAATTTTAAGTGCCCAATAAAGTATTGTTAACTGTAATAGAACTGTGTTAAACACAGATCCCTAGAACTTTTTCATCTTCCATAATCTGTTGCACAGCATCTCCCCATTTCCTGTCTCCTCTGGATACCTGCATTTTTTCCAAGCCCCCAAGTGATGTCTTTGTGCATGCTGCTGGCAGGGAGCCCACATTTGGTAAACCACTGAAGTGGGGAGCTGCAGCAGGATCATGAGGTACCTGAGGTTCATTGCCCTAATTTTTCCTCCACCACAGTCAGCTGCTCAGATACAGGGTAGGTGGAAAATTAGACCTCACCAAGGTGGGGGGTTTGCCAGGCAAGCAGAACAGAAGGGTAATTTCGCATGGTGTCTTATATGTGATACATGCTTAGAATACATACATAGTTATTATATACGGGCACTAGAATACATACATTGTTATTATATACGGGCACTCGCTGAAAAGACAGAGAGACAGAAAGCAAGAAATCACTCCCCAGGGAGATGGCCACGCCATAATCCCTTCTCCATTCTCCTCTAGGGATCTTGGACACATACACACATGCGTCTGGTGTGAGTTTCAAGCCGCTGGGTCTAGGACTCAGACAGACTGTGGTCAACTATGAGAGTCCAGCAACATTACCGTTATGCCATCTTCTAGTCCCTACATAATTGTTATTATCTAGCACCAGCCTACTCTTACACCCCTGCCTCCCAACATGCTCAAAAATCTCCTTTTTCTAACTATAACATGGTAGTTACAAGCCCAGGCTCTGGAGCCGAGCAGACCTGAATCTAGCTATGTGACCTTGGGTTAGTTTCTTAACATTGCTATGCTTCAGTTTATCTGTAAAAGGAGAAAAATCTGACCTCCTCCTTAGAGTTGTTGGGAGCTGTAAATAAAACATTGCATTAAATCGCTTAGCACAGCAGCTACACGTAGAAAACAGCAAATGTCAAAAGATCCTCAAATACCAGATTAGAAAAGATTTAATAAAAATTAGTTCTGAGCATAATCTCTGCCCCCCCGAAGCCCAGCAGTACTGTAAAACCTCTTCCCCATTCACAACGAGAATTAGTTTCTTCTCCCCTGTTCTTGCTTTGCACTTTGGATCAATTATCACATGATATGCTTTATGTTAGAAGGATTTTCATATGTGGTCGTCAAGGCTGCTGAGTCGTGCAGCTCTGGAGAACAGTGCCTGTTTCTTACTCATTAACCCCGAAAGCCCTGTGTACTGCTCCTGTACATATTATACCTTCAAGGAATCATCTTTACATTTGAGTAAGATTATATATAATGTGACATTCATGTCTCTTATTTAATTTCTAAAGAGTTTTTCTAAACATAACACTTTTTCATTTGCTCCAGGGCACGTGCACTCACCAGAGAAAGAGGGCAAGGGAAAGTAAACCAAACCGTCAGATTCAGGACTCGAACCACAGTCAGCTGTGTGGGAGGCTAGTGCCTTAACCATCACACTCTCTGCCTGGCCCTGGCAGTAGTTCTTTTAAGGTTCTTAAAGTCATCCCTGAAAGATTCACTCTAGATTGGCTCTTGAGAGATGGGATGACTTCAAGAGCCATACTGCAGACCTAGTCCTTGAAAGAAGTACTGCTGGTGCCAGCAGGTGGCGTGGTGGTTAAGATACTGGGCCCACATGGCTGACTGCAGTTCACATCTCAGACCCAGCCCCTTGCTTTCTCATTTTCTCTCTCTCTCTCCCTCTCGCTCGTGAGCGCACGCACCGTATAGCACATTTAAAAATAATAATAAATAAAATAAAATAGCTCTTTTAAAACAAACGAGCAAGCAAAAACACTAAAAAACTACTGCCTTTTCAAAAAGGGAAATCCTTCCCAAATTGTGAAGCTGCCGCCTCAACTTCTAACTTCAAGCATAGGGCTCGCTGTAGTCAGAAAGCCAAAACAATCCGTCTCCATGCAAAAACACCAGTCACAGCCATGACAGCCTTTGCCAACTGAAGCAGCAGAAGTATGGCTCCCTCTTCTGCCTCCTAAAGCTCAAACTATTAGCAGAATTCAACTCAGGTCCCTCTAAGGGAATCTGGGAAATGTAGCTTGTAATTTTCCTGCATCTACATGTGTGTCAGAATTCCCCCCCAGACCTACATGTGTGAAGGTTCTTGCTTCTTCCACACCATCACCAAAGCTGGTATCATCGCACTTTTTTTCTTTCCTTTTTTTGGTTCTGTTTTGCCATAAGATGTGTGTGCTTGCCAGAGAGAGAGGCAAAGTGAGAAATCACCTCCTAGCAGGGCTGGCCACAATACAATCCCTTCTCCTCCATTCTCTTTTCAGAATTTCTGGCATGTGGGACCAGCAGTTAGTGTAATGGTTATGTCGTTGGACTTCCATGTAGTTGACCGTGGTTCGAGTCCTGGACCTGGCGGCTTAAACTCACCCTGGGCTAGTGTGCATGCTTGCCCAAGATCCCAAGAGGAGAATGGAGGAGAAGGGACTGTGTCATGGCCATCCCCTCTGGGGGGTGATTTCTCACTTTCTGTCTCTCTGTCTCTGTCTCTCTGGCAAGCGCATGCACCCTATAGCAAAAACCTCTCCCCGAAAAAAGAAAAAAAAAAATCAACTCTCACATTTTCTTTTCATCATTGTTTTGTTATGTTGATTTGTAAGAATCTTTTTTTTATATTGAGCTAATTAGTTCTGCACATAATTTTCAAATAGTGAAGATAAAATTATTGATACACACTTATAAGTGAAGAAAGCAGACTAAGGCATAGCAAAATTATGTATTTTCTTTTTAAAAAAACTCATTTGAATAGATATGGACAGAGGCTAACTAAAATGCCTGGAATGGGTTAACATAGATTCTATGGACTTGGTAGGATATTTCTTATTTGACTACAGTAAGCGGTAACTTTAAAGCAACCTCTCAGAGTTCTAAACCTTTCATCTGTGCCAGCCTACAGTGTGCATGATCTTTATTTTTCTCAAATTTGCTGAAAATATACAAATAGGATGCAAATGGACATAGAAGACAAGACAAAAGAACAAAATCCTACTTTTGGCTCATCCTGCCCCTGGAATATTAATACGTAGCTCTGGGTCTACCACATCTTTCCATAGCTATACATATTTAGATCATTCAATTCAATAAATTAGTGTTAAATTGAAACAAAATCACTCGGTAAGAGACATCTACAGGTAAAGAAAAACATACTCCAAAAAGCAAAGAAAATTGATCATCTGCACCATTTATGTAGATACCATTTTTTTTTTTTTGAGAGGTTTTTGCCATAGGGTGCGTGCGCTCGCCAGACAGACAGAGAGAGAGAAATCACTCCCCAGGGGGGATGGCCATGCTGCAATCCCTTCTCCTCCATTCTCTTCTCGGGATCTCGAATATGCACGCACACGCGCCCGGTGTGAGTTTTAAGCCACCGGGTCCGGGAAGCAAACCGCGATCGACTACATGGGAGTCCAGCGACATAGCCATTACGCTAACTGCTGGTCCCTAGATAACATATTTTCTCAAACTCTCCTTCCTATCTACACTCATGCTGACACAGACACATGGGAAAGATCACTACTAATCCTTTAGTACATAGTTATTCTTTCTCAGAGCTTCCATAGCACTCCATTCACACCTTTTTTTTTTTTGTGGCTGACCTTAGTTCAACTATAAATTATGTTCTGATAGCTAACCCAAGATTACAATGACACAAACCAGAGTTATTTTGTCTCCCACCTAAGGGTCTGGGCTGGACCAACTGAGAGCGGAGCAGGTGCTGGTTGTCACAATCCAAATTCCTGATGGAGGTTCTACATTCTATATGCATCACCCTCTACTATGTGGTCCAAGACTGTTCCCCAGGCTGCAGAGGGGAACAAGGGCAAAGGGGAAGTCTTAACCCCCGCCCCTTTTTTTTCCCCTAAAGAAACGCAAAGATCATTTCCATTCACCAATTCTGATTGGGTACAGTTCAGTCACATGACCACGGAAGAGACTTAAAATTGAGGGATGGGCCCTTGTCAGAGTTACCTTGATTAGGACTGTTGGATATAATTACCTCTTCCATGACCCTGTCCTTCCACCTCATCACACTTCTTAAAAGTCCTAGGAAACCTGGAGTAATCTATTCATAGACCTGAAGAACATTAGAGGCATCTATGAAGACAGGACCAGAGGCTGAGGAAAAGGCTCAGTAGTCATTTGGAGCCAAGTGCGAATCCCTATACTACTGCTCTCCAGCAAGCAAACTTGCGCCCCTCAGTTCCCTGGTAAATGTGGAATAAGAATAGCACCTCCTTCCCAGGTTTCATTTTGTTTTGTTTTTTAAGGTTTTTGACATAAAGCACATGGACTCACTGGAGAGAAAGAGAGAGGGATAGTGAGAAATCACTCCCCAGAGGAGAGGGCCACATCATAATCCCTTCTCTGTTTTGAGCATGCACATATACGCACCCAACATGATTTTCAAGTTGTCAAGTCTGGGACTCAAACCATGGTTAGCCATGTGGAATCTAGCACCTTAACCACAATGCCACCTGCTGGCCCCCTTCCCAGGTTTATTGTGAAGACTGAGTTCATTCATATGATTATGACACATGGCAAGCACTCAATAATGACAGCACCAATTGAGTCTGGCTTGATGGGTAAGTTGTGAGTGATGAATTTAAATCAGTTAATTGCAGCTCAAGATCAGGAGGGAAGGCTTAGGAAAGAAAAGTTATCGAGGCACCATTTGTATTTTGTGTTCCCAATTTTCTCTCTCCTTCCTTCCTTGGAGACATTTCTTTAGCCCTCAGATGCCTCCATTTTCTTTATTAAAAAGAAAACATGGGGAACCAGCAGTTAGCGTAATGGCTATGTCGCTGGACTCCCACGTGGTCGACCGCGGTTCGTGTCCCGGACCCGGTGGCTTGGAACTCACGCTGGGCGCGTGTGTGTGCGTGCCCAAGATCCCGAGAGGAGAATGGAGGAGAAGGGATTGCGGTGTGACCATCCCCCCTGGGGGGTGATTTCTCCCTTTCTGTCTCTATGTCTCTCTCTGTCTGTCTGGCGAGCGCAAGCGCCCTACAGTGAAAATCTCTCCAAAAAAAAAAAAAAAAAGAAAACATGAAGACCTGCTCTGTGGCCTGGTGATTAAGGCAGCTGTATCCTACATGGCCTACCACAGGGTTCAAGCTCTGGACCCTGGAGCTTGGTAGACAGACTGAGTACTTGTGTATGAGTGCCCAAAATCCAAAAAGAGGGGAAAATGGAAGAGAAGGGATTGCAGCACGACCATTCCTCACACGAGTTGCTTTCTCACTTTCCCTTTCACTCTGTCTTTCCCTCTCTCTGTAGTGAGCACATATGCCCTCTAACAAAACAAAATAAACAAAAAAAGAGAAGAAAACTTGGGGTCTGGCTTCTGGGAAAACTGAATGCCACTGCCCAGGACTCTTGCATCTTTTTCACCAAAGTCCTTGAACTCTCGCTCTCTTTTTAATCCACTGTATCAGATCCCCAGCTGCCCCACCACAAGAGATTTGAACACCAGCTCTGAGATCGCCACTAAAGACAAAGAAGGAAGTTGTGGAGGAGGCAGAGAATGGAAGAGATGTCCCTGCTAATGGGGAGCAGGAGGCTGACAATGAAGTGAATAAGAGGTTCGGGAAGAGGATGGAGATGAAGATGAGGTGGCTGAGGCAACTATAGCAGACGGGCATCTAAAGATGAGGATGATGATATCACTGCCAAGAAGCAAAAGACCAATAAGAATGACTAGACAACAACAAAAAAAGGAAAAGTTAAACTTAAGAAAAGCCACCATGACCTATTCACCCCCCACTTCCTGTCTCAGAATCTAAGCTTGGTTGCTTTCATGTAGAGGCCTGCCTGGGGCCCACCATGGGTGCCACCCGCAGTTGACACGCACTCTCCTCCACCCAACCCAAACCACAACCTGAATTTGTTATGGGGGAGGATAAAAGAACCAAAATTTTCAAGACATTGCTTTTTCTCCTAAAAGTATTGCTTAAAGGAAATTTTATTTTATTTATTTTTTTACCAGAGAGTGTATATGTTCACCATAGAGACAGAAAGTGAGAAAGCAACCTCCATGGGGAATGATCATGCCACAATCCTTTCTCCTTCATGTCTCCCATCTTTCAGGATTTGGGGCACACATACACATACACCTGACATGGTTTTCAAGACTCTTGGTCCAGGATTTGAATCCTATAGCCAGCCATGTGAGATTTAGCCCCTTAACCACCATGTCACCAGCTAGACTATGTTTGTACTTTTTATTTACATTTTATATTTTTGTACACATTGTTAGAGGTCAGCCATTTAAAAAAAAATTTTGGAGAGGTTTTTGCTGTAGGGTGCATGCACTCACCACAAAGACAGAGTCAGAGAAACAGAAAGTGAGAAATCACCCCCCCCCCAGGGGGGACGGTCACGCCTCAATCCCTTCTCCTCCATTCTCCTCTCAGGATCTTGGGCATGCACACACATGTGCCTGGCGTGAGTTTAAACCACTGGGTCCAGGACTCGAACCACAGTCGACTGCATGGGTGTACAGCGACATAGCCTTTACACTAACTGCTAGTCTAAGGACTCAGCCACTTTTAATGACCTCAGATGACCAAACCAGCCTTTGGAGTGTTCTCTGTCCTACTTCTGACTACTTATGGTATGTCCATGTTCATTATAATCTCAAAGGAGAGGAAAAAAACCCTGAAAATAGCAGCTACAACAAAATCTTACCCAACATTACAGGAACTGTGGTGTGTGTGTGTGTATATGTGTACCTAGCTATATTTAAGTAGTTGGTTTGTCTGAAATGGTTAAAAAGACCAATGAGGGCCAGACAGGTGACACAGTGGTTAGAGCAGTGAGATCCCATGAGGCCAACTCAGCATTTCAAGTCCCAGATCTGGTGGCTTCAGAAACACTCCATTATATGTGTGTGCCTAAATATCTCAAGTGAATGGAGGAGAAGAGATTGTAGCATAGCCATCCCTCCAAGAGGAGGGGTGATTTCTCTCTCTGTGGGGAGCACATGCATCCTGTAACAAACCAACAATCAAACCAAAATAAAGCCAAAGATTAAAAAACTTCTTTTTGTATCTAAGTTACTGTTTATTTTTTTTCTTTTGGCCTATTTGATGTATGTCGTCCAACAATAAGACAGAATTTTATTTTGCTGAGTTGTTCTATTAAAAAGAAGAAAAGAAAATACTTGGGCCCAGTCTCTGACACAGTTGGTCGCATACCACTGTGGAGTGGAAGCTGCATGCCAACCATGGTTTGAGTCCCTGGCTTAGTTGGCCTGAAAATACACTGAGTGTGTGTGCCTGTGCCAGGATTCTGACAGGCAGGAGGGCTAGAGGAAGAGGATCGCAGTGTGACTGAGCCTTGTGGATGGTGCTTCTCTGCATAGATTCAATCTTAATCCATACTAAAGTGAGCAACAACAAAAAAATCAAATTTTATACAAGTCCTTTAACAGAGATCAAATTATTAAACTGGAAGAATAAACTTTCAAGATGAAATGTATGGGGAACCAGCAGTTAGCATAATGGCTATGTCGCTGGACTCTCACGTAGTCGACCGCGGTTCGTGTCCCAGACCCGGTGGCTTAAAACTCACGCCGGGCGCGTGTGCGTGCGTGCCCAAGATCCCGAGAGGAGAATGGAGGAGAAGGGATTGCGGCGTGACCATCCCCCCTGGGGGGTGATTTCTCCCTTTCTGTCTCTATGTCTCTCTCTGTCTGTCTGGCGAGCGTACGCGCCCTACAGTGAAAATCTCTCAAAAAAAAAAAAAATAAGATGAAATGTATGTAATTGAAAATGTGAAAAAGATATTCCAGACATTTCACCTGGGTCTTCCCCAGTACCTTCATAATTAAGAAGTGGTTTTTTTTTTTTTTTTCAGACCATGTCTTGTTAATTCCATTTCCATTCAGCATCTCAAATAAGTCTATCTCCAAGTCCGCTGCCACCACACCATTTCCAACCACTGTGCTCTCATTCCAGTTACACTGGCTGCCTAAATTAGCCTCAAACCTAATGTTTTGAAACAACCATCTGCCATGCTTGTGGATTCTAGGGTCGGGGACTCAGACAAGGCACTGCAGAGATGGCTCGTCTCTGCTCTCCAGTACCAGAAAGCTGAAATCACCTATGCAGCTGACAGTTGATGCTGGCTGTTTAGAGGCCTCAGTTCCTCCTCTTAGGCTTCTCCCTAGGGTCTCTCCAGATGGACTTGTGTAAACTCAGAGAGAGAGCGTGCGCAGGCAAAAGCCACATTGTCTTTCGTAACCTGCCTTTGGAAGCCACACAGTGTCACTTCCCAGACTCCATTTGCCAAAGCATTCTGAAATCTCACCCAGGTCCAGGGAGAAGATAGACTCCATGTCTTGATGGGGGCTGCAAAGTCCTAGAAGAACACATGGGGGTGGGGGTGGGGAGGCAGGTGGTGTGCTGGTTGAAGTGCTGCACTCCCACATGGCTGACCACAGTTCAAGTCTTGGACCTGGTGGCTTGCTTTCTTACTCTCCTTTCTCTCTTGTCTCTCTCTGCTCAAAATTGAAGAATGGTGATAATAAATACAATTTAAAATAATTCTTTTTAAAAAAATCTTATTAAAAAAAAAAGAAAAGAAAAAGAACACATGAGACCAGAAATATCGTGCACCTTTGGGACTAGCTCTGCTCCATCTCCTGTCTGCTATTGTATTGGTCCCATCACCAGTTTTGCTGCTTTCACATTTCTACTTCCTGTCATGTCCTTCTCAAAGGATAGCCTAGACACACTTGTGACAGATTAGATGGTGTCCCTCCTTCCCTTGGGATAAAGTCCAGTCTTCTCCTGGCCTCCAAGGTCAGCAGGACACCTTACCCCGCTCCCCCTCCGTGAGAGGAGCCTTAGCCACACCCTGCACAGGACTTTCAGTTCCTCAAACAAAACATCAAAGCTTCTTCCACCTTAGGGTCTTTCTGGAAATTTCTCTTCTTATGTGGTTTTTCTCCTATTCTTCTGGCCTCAGTCTGAATGTCACTCTCCAAGAGGGCCTAAAAGCCCTCCCTGAAATCCCATCGCAGGGTTGTGACAACACAGATGAATCTGGAGGACACTGTGTCAAATGAAATAAGCCAGACACAGAAAACTACCCACATACCACGTGATCTTATTTAGATGTGAAAGTTATGAAAGTTGAGCCCATAGAAGAAGAGAGTAAAAGGGTGGTTGCCAGAGGCTGAAGGGTGGGGGGAATGGGAGATACTGGTCACGGGGTGCAAACTTTCAGTTCTGTAAGATGAATACATCCTAGAGGTCTACTGTGCAGTACAGTCCTACAGAAACAACACAGTATTGTATATATTGTATACTTAAATTTGTGCAAAGTTGGTAGATCTCATGTTAGGTGTTCATCTTGGTCTGCCTGGGTTACTATACTAAAAACCAGTTAGCTTATAACTGACAGAAATTTACTTCTTGCATTTCTGAAGATGAGAAGTCCAAGAATAAGATACCAGCAGGTTTAGTGTCTGGTGAACCTGCTTCCTGGTTCACAGAAGGCACCTTCTTTGTGTCGTCACATAGAAGGGACCAGGTAGCTTTCGGGAGTCTCTATTAGGGGGCTAATCCTATCCATGAGAGGTCACCCTCCTGACCCAGTCGCATCCCAAAGGCCTCACCTCCTAATGCTATCACCCTGCAGGATAGCATTTCAACTATGAATCTGGGTGCGCACAAATATCCAGACCATCGCAGTGATCTTATTACAATAATGAAGAGAGTGAAAGAACTTTTTTTTTTTTTGGAGAGGTTTTCGCTACAGGGCGCGTGCGCTCACCAGACAGAGAGAGATGTAGAGACAGCGAGAAATCACCCTCCAGGGGGGATGGTCATGCTGCAATCCCTTCTCCTCCATTCTCCTCTTGGGATCTTGGGCACGTACACACACGTGCCCGGTGTGAGTTTTAAGCCACCGGGTCCAGGATGCAAACTGTGGTCGACTATGTGGGAGTCCAGCGACATAGCCATTACGCTAACTGCTGGTTCCCATAAATAAAATAATTCTTAAAAAAAAAAAAAAAAACCCAAAAAAACTCTTCTATAATCAGGGCCATAATCGTGTGTGTTAAAAAAAAAAAAAAAAAACCCCCAAAAAAAAAAGGGTTTGGGGCAAAAAAAAAAAGCCTCCAAATAATAATGGTTTTGGCGCAGATGTCTTAAAGGTACATTGGAAAATTGCTTCCTATCCATGATAATATCATGTGTACAACTTTTAAAAATATTCCTAGATACATATTAATTTTAAAAGGTAAGTCTGGCCATCATTTTTTTTTTTTTACCCAGAACCTATAATCCTGAGAGCCCAAAACCAAAAAAAAAAAAAAAAAATCGACTCTACAGATGTCCCAAAACTTACCAGTAAATGAAAGAGAAGAAAAAAAATTTAAACACATGGAGCTTTCTAAAAGGTTTTCCACAAGCTACCTTGGGAAATCAATTCAAAAATAGACATTGATGTACTAAAACAGATGTTTCAGTGCAGCTCCAAAAATCTTTATAAATACAGCCATTTGGAAGGCTGATCTTGGATCAAAAGTGTTACTGCCTTGTGTATCTATATTACGTGTGCATGCCTCATCTCAGTTGTTGTATTTGTCTCTAATTTTCTCCTGAGTAGCAGCCATAACCATCCTGGGTTCTGCCGCTGTAGTCTCTGGACTGTCCATACCCGTAACCATATTTTCCAGGTCGACTGTCATACCTGTCACTCCCATATCTTTGATTCCCACTGCCTCTAGAGTAGCTGCAACCACGAGCTCCAAAGGCACCCCTTTGGTTCCCCGGGGCAGACTTGCCTGCATGGTCTGCACAAATATGGCAGCTGTCTAGAGACTCTTCATTCATGGCTCTCATGGCATCAGAGGCATGCTCTGGGTTGGTGAAAGTGTTAAAGCCAAAATCCCAGGATTGCTGAGTCTCCCAGTCCTTGACAACGACCACCTCAGAGATGGTCCTGAAGCTGCTCAAGTGGTCCTCCAGCACCTATTCATCAGTGTTGAAGTTGAGGCCTCCCACAA